GCAGACACACAATACACTGACACATAGATGAGTGAATAATAATATGGATCCAACAGGGTAACTTTAGTTTGAACATTTGTCTTGTTCATTAGTTGTGACGGGGGATTTGAAGGAATTGGGCTACATGGAATAGTCATGAAGCTTAAATATGAGCTTTTAAACAGATGGATTTGAGAAAGGAAGGTCTCTACCCTGCTCCTCCTGAAACTTCTCTCTCTCTCTCTCTCTCTCTCTCAATGTCAATTTTCAATTTCACTTATGCTTTATTTGCTTAAACAGTGGGTGTCCATTCCTGCAAAAGCAATGAGGCGACAAATGGCTGGTGACAGATAACAGTCCATTCAATGAAAATGTCTCAATAATAATGAAAAAGGGAACATGCACCAAATACACACTGTACGTGCACATATATGTAAACATCTGCTCATAAGAGTGTACATAAACAAGTTTAAAGGAATCAACAGAGGGATGTGTTGGTAGATGGTGTTCTGTGTTTTGAGACAGCTTCTCCTTAAGCTTTTGAATTCATTTGGAAAGTTAAAAAGTCTGGCATTTATGATGCTGCAGAACATATTGCCTGATGTGCTTATTACACAGATTCCTCCATAATTTCCCAGTGGTCACCAGTCTTCCAGATCTCAGGAAAGTCAGAAAATCCTACGCTAAGCACCATACTGCTCAAGAGTTATGATGAAGCCATGTGGTGTGATCTCTGTGCTTATGTGGTCAAACCATAGGGTTCAAACCTGCAGGAAATCTTCCCTTTTCAGAGCCTTTTATTTGTATGGAAGCATAATACATTCACTTGAGAAGAAAAATTCTGCTCTGTTTATCTGACTTAACGAGATAATTATCTGAGATAAGTTTTCATGGTGACAAAAATGTTTCGCTCTGTTTTTCTGCTCAGTTTCATGGAAGCAAACATGTCCCGTCTGTTGAGTTTAATCCAGTTATCTCTTGGTTTGAGTTTGAGACATTGGGAGATACTCCAGTCTTTAAGCATTAGAGATGGCATTGTTATTAGTTTATTGACTCCATGCTTGAAATCATATAGGCCTAGCACTACTGTTGTTGGAGGGTCAGGCTGATTAGCTCTAGCAACAGTGGCCTACTCCATGCAGGGGAGAGTTTGTCACAGGATTTTGAAGTATCCCATTAAATCAGAAAAACAGCAGGATTTTTTTCTCAAGGGAATGCATAAGGATTTCCTATATTTACAAATAATTATATGTATGAATAGAGTAAAATATATAAATGAACCAATAAATTGTGAATAATTTCATAAATTCTTAAAACAATATTCATCATTTTGAAAACCAAACTCATGAATCATGAAACGTCATTCGTTTTTATTGAATTTTAAAAATGTATTCAAAAATATGTTAGTCAGTATCTATTTCACAATACTACTTACCTAATAACACTTTTATTTAATAATCACTTTTCATGAAAGTGCAGTTGCCACCAGCACTTGCACCTTTCAGCCAATCACATGTGCCATCAGCACACTACTATAAATCTTGCCAGCTAGCTCCTGTTGGCTAGAGCAAAAACAAATGCCAAAGTAATTCTGAATCAACAAACTAGAGGCTACTGCTGTAAACAAACAGTGCACAGTTACAGTACTGTTTTACAACTAGCTTAACAAGGCTACAGATGCTACTTAACTAGATGACTAACTAGATTGGTTGGCTTTTGAACTTGACTTTATTTTGCAGCTAGCTGGTAACTGTACCTCTTCCGTGTTGTTATTCTACATGTTATCAAAGAAAAACACAAAACTTTGTGAAAAGGAAAAATACACAGACTTTTTTTGGTTTGATGAAGCCAAATAGATCTAGCTGGGAGAGGGAGGCTGAGGCCCCAGGCACGTGCCCTAACTCTAACACACTCCACTGTCACAAAGAGCAAAGTCTGAAATAAAAGTATCATTGGGAATAAAATCATTGTGACGTAAAGACAGATTTTTTAAAATAAAATTAACTGAAAGAATGACGATGAAATGACATTTCACAATTATGAGTTTTGAATGAGTTTTTGTCTTTCATTAAAGAAATCTTTTAATATATTTTACTTTTATTTATATGATTATTTATTTCATGATGTCTTATTTATTCATTTATTAAATATTAAACACATTGGGGCTCCATAGATATTTGTCTTTAATTTTAGCCTCTCTCTCTGTACCCCCACCTTGCCAAATATCACAGTTTTATTCTCCTTCACTCATTAAAACCCATTTACTGATGAATGAAAGGCTTTAGGTCCATTCTGAGCAACACGGCCATCTATTCAGGATCCTCATATAATAACACTTTACAAGCCAGAGAATTTCAAGCATGGCTGAAGGGTTGGCAGAGTTCTTTTAACTGCGGTTCAAAGCAATATTAAGTGTGGGAATGAAAATCCTTTCTCCTGAGACTAATAGTAGGAAGCACAATTGCGTCCTTTTGATCTTTCCTCCAGCATGTTTTCCTCTGCTCTTCTCCTCCTCCGTCATCTGACTCATTCACTGCTCTGTTCTCTGGGGAAATTATGCTAATCAGGGCAAGCCAGATATTGTTAAGCATCAGCAGTATCCAGTGAGAGGTGCAGTACAGAGATAGATGAGCAATTCTCATTTTCAGCTAATTATGGTCTTGTTTTGCCAAATGGCAACTTATATTACTGACAGGGGGATCTCTTTTATCCTGATCCATCATAGAAATTAGTTATCGGAAAAACATTATTTTCCTAACTTTATGTGCAGGGTAGCCAATGCATAATTCCTGCAGCAAGCACTATGTTTTTCTGACATATCTTTTCCTGATACACACTCAGAAATACGTACGGGTGTGTACCTAAAAGGGTACAAATGCTTGTTGCTGGTGAGGTACCCTTTTGTGAGACAACTGTGTACAATTTATTGCTAGTCCATTTTTGTACCTTATCAAATTGTACCAGTTAAAGTACAATTGTGTACCCTGCAAGGTACAAATGTACCTTTAAACTATATAGTACAATAATATACCCATTTAAAGGGTACTAATATGTCCTATTAAGAGTACCATGCCAGCGAAAAGCTATTCTGGACTTTAAGGAGACAAAAATGTACCAGAATGCTCTACACAATAACTGCTTTTTGACTGTTGATTGATATATCACTTTTCCAGATACAAAACATACCAATTTATGGTAAGAAAAAGTTAATTCATTGCAAATACATGTCAATGCCCATATATAAAACAAGATGTAAAGATTACTTAAAATATTAACATTATACACGTTAATTCCACCTAATTAAACACCTATGTGAAACTACAGGATGCATAGAACAATAGACACTTTTCATACTCCTTTGATTTGTTCCCTGTCTGTATGAACAGAAAAAAATTCAACATACCTCAATGAAACAAACAGTCTATCATCAACTAAATATGTGTCTGGTGGTCTAACTCATTTACTGGATTTAGCAGAAATTCAGCCGTTGTCAACTGTGACACGACATGTCAAAAGAGCAAATAAATAAAAGTTTCCCACACAACACCCAAAAAGTCTCAATGTTCAGAATGTACTTAATTTTCAAGAATAAAGGGATTGCTTCATGACCTACAACAAAAACATCCACAAGGGCATATTTGACACCATTAACAGATACAGATGACACACGCTGAAGCACTTTATCCTGAAACTGCACATTAAACTTTGCTTTAATTTCAGAGCATTCTGTAAATCACTTGGCAGAGATGAAAATGGCACATTATTGCTTTTGCTGAGCACATTTTCAAAGTTAACGAAGAACCTATCTGATGAAAACTCCCAACACTGCTTCATTTGTTGACGATTACTGAGAGTCGCAGTTATGTTTACAAACTTCCTAAATTTGCTGGAAATATTTTTGAAATATTGGTGCTTGCTTTCATACCTCATCCACCACAAAGGGCGAAGAGGACCGTACATCAACATAAGTCTAGGATAGTGAATTAAGTAGTAGTACTTAGGTATTAACACATTTCCAAAGATTTAGTTGTCTTATTTTAAATGAGCAAGCTCATCTTTTCTTACTGTTGCAAGCATTAAGATATCCACGATTTCTGAGCATAGTAAGAACACATACCAACACATGGACTGTCAGGTGGGATATGGTGAGCTATTAAAAAAGGCAACAGTCTGAATAGGCACCATTTTTGGCTGGCTGTTCCAACTATGTTAGATTTTCAAAGGATTTTTTCTGTCAATGGCACTGGTTTGTTTGGTTTGTCATCCTCCCCGATGCATACATTTTTCAATTCATCATTTATTTCATGTATGGTTTTGTGCTTTTGATTATGAGCTTTACAGATGACAGAATTTCATGAAATAGTAGCTAGAGCAGCTTTAATCGTATGCTCTACTTCATTAAGACCTCGGTGGAGAGCATCTTAAGGTCAGCTATCAAGGGTTGTAGTATAGTTTCAAGGCCAGACTCTTTCACATGTGGCTAGGTGAATGTGACTCAACTTTGAGAGATATCTTCCACTTGTGTTCCCAGCTGTATAATAAAAAGATTTTGTACTTATTTCTTTTAGCTCCAAGTGGGTTCACAATTTCAAATTCATCTTCATAAAAATAAAGTCTTAGAGCTTGAGGATGATCTTTGAAAAATTAGTGCTCTTTAAAGTACATGTCAGCACTGTAATCTGTCAGAACATCATCATCTCAGTTTCTATAGTTATCCAAAACAATCTGTTCGCACACATCCTCTACACAGCACTATTTTTTTAATACCTGTGTGATTGGAATGTAAGAATAAGTACCAATTTGAAATCCTGAATTGTTTTTACTGTGTAACTGATTTGATGTTGATTGCAGTGTTCTTTTATTATGTATGGTGACAGAATTGAATTGTTTGCTTTCTGAAAAAAATCTGATGTAGACAAAACTTGCTCGAGTTCTGGGCAATCAGAGATGCGGAAACTATTCTTATCCAAATTATAAGACATTAATGAGTCATAGTTCTCTTTGAAAAAACACAATACAAATTGAAGGTCATCAGCAATATCTTTTTGGACAGAAATGGAGAGATTGTTTTTTTCAGTACACTTGAGAATGAAGCCAAACAAATGGTCTCTTAAATTCTCAAGCAAACTGTCCATACTAGGTGGTGTAGGCTGCTGAACTGTTTGTGTGTGTTCAACTAGTTCTTCTGAAGCTTCTTCAGGTGTTTCAGAGCAATTGGAAATATTGTTTTTGTGTTTGCGATAAACATGCTGCCTAAAAGAAGGATATTTGCAAAAAGCCGACTGGCAGTTAGTTATCCCTAAGGTTATGTTGAAATGAGGTACATGGGCATGCACCAGTCCAATGTGCTGAATCAGTTTCCTTAGAGTCAAGGTCCTCTTTGAACATTTCGAACACTGATGCATTCTAGGCATTATCAGTAAAGAAGGTTAACCACTTGAGTTACAGTTACTGGCAGGGGTTTGTCTCCATCCTCCATGATGTGTGTGATGCACCTCTGGAGAAAGGTCAGTGTCTTTTGAAAGTATGCAGGATATGTCATGTTGAAGACGAAGTATATGCAGAAAGCTGCGATATAGGCTTCATCCACTGATATGCAGGAACAAACCTCCATTCCTTCGATGACACTCCAACACTGTCTGGACAGGGCAATTTTCCAGTCTTGGTCTTTAAGTTGAACAGTTGGATATGGAGTTAGAGGATTATTCTACATGAGAAAAAAAATGTTAGCATGGCACGTGCAGTAATCCAAAAGAATAATAATTTATGGCTAATTGGCTGTACACAACACCAGTTGTTTACCTCAACATGAATAATGAAATCCTCAATCTTCTCCTTGAAGATGGATGGCAAGAGAAGGAGTCCACCCCTCAAGTCAATTCTTAGGTCATAAGATTCTACAATTTTAAGGGTGCCTTGCTGATATGTGACTGACGTGTTCCTACGTTAGCAAATGCATGGAATAAAATACACAGTCAGTGTAACAAAAACAATTTCACCTTCAGGTTTTACATTAAAATAGAGATTCAAATTAGTAGAACAGTATGAAAATTTCCACCCATAACTGAAAGACAACAGTCTATAAACACAGGCATTTCACTAAATGTCTGACATTAGCTGCAATGTAACAGTAAAATTTTCAAACAATTATTGCAAAACAGATAGGCCTCGTCTAGATATGCATATCAATGGTATGGGTCGTATTGAGTGAAAATGTGATGAGAAATGTGTGAGAAAATAGTGCCTTATTTGAAGACTAAGTTTACACAAGCCATTACTTATTAACACAAAATCCAGACAGTGGAAGAATGTGGATGCAATAATAAAATATTACTGAAACTTGAAAATTAAAAAGTAACATTTCAAAAACTATTGACAATTGAATGCCATGTAACCAAGATTTCAACATGCCAGTGCAATACCACTTTTACCATAGTTACCCATTCTCTTTAGAAAGGACTGCACACAAATGACACAATGATGTAGCAAAACTGATTATTTGTGTGTACCTGTAATATCCTCAGCCAAGGAATCCTCTCTTGCCTCTTTGCAAAGTTTTTTCAGTGGCAAATCCTTGACAAGTTTAAGCATATTTGGGAGAACAGATGTGAAGTTCTCACTGAAGCGGCGGCATATGTTGACTGCAGAGGGGTGTATTGCATTGACCTCATCGCACAACTGAGATTTAAAAAAGAAAAATAAAGGAAAGACATTTTATTGGCAGTATTTAAACAACCTTTAACACAAGTTAACAAAATCAGGTTTAGGCATCATTTAGGACAGTGTATGCCCCCCACCTTAATGGCAGCTGACATCACTAAAACACTTGGATGTTTCTGTGGAAGGCTGCAGTGGCCGCTAGAACAGTTGTGGTAAAAATATATTAAAATAGGAAATGAATCACAACTGTGATAGATATCTATCTGAACGTTTTTGTATATTTTTTTTATTTTTAGAATTTCTTGTGTTAATGTATATCAGTGTTAATGTACAGACGAAGGGACAAATTTAAGTACTTTAATTTGTCCCCCAGTCTGTAACTCATGTTGGCATCTGCTTAACTGTTCTGACTTACCCCTGAGGATGTTCTTAGGAATGGATATTTCCTCAAGATATCCTCAGTAGACATTCCTCCCTCTATTTCTCGGTGTCTCCATGCAAAGGTTTTCATCATGGGGTCTTTCACCAGATTCACGTCTCTTTCTGTAATACTGCTTCTACTGCTTCCAGCAATACTTCTGCACTCATTACTACACTGTCTCACTGTCTACCTGTCTCTCTGTCTCTCTGTCTCACTGTATCTGTCTCTCTCTGTCTGTCTTTCTCTTGTTCTGTCTTTCTCTCTCTGTCTGTCTGTCTTTCTCTTGTTCTGTCTTTCTCTCTCTGTCTGTCTGTCTTTCTCTTGTTCTGTCTCTCTCTCTCTGTCTGTCTGTCTGTCTTTCTTTTGTTCTGTCTCTCTCTGACTCACTGTCTTCCTGTCTCTCTAACATTGTCTGACTGCCTGCCTCTCCCTCTGTCTTTGTCTCTCCGTCTGTCTCTCTCTCTCTAACTGTCTGTCTTTCTCTTTCTCTCTGTCTCTCTCTGTCTACATCTGTCCATCTGTCCGTCTGTCTGTCTCTGGTTGTCTGACTGCCTGTCTCTCTGTCTTTATCTGACTGTCTGTTGATGTCTTACTGTGTGTCTGTTTGTCCCCATCTCTGTCTGACTGTCTTAATCTGATTCTCTTCCTGTCACTCACTGTATGTCTGTTTGTCTCTGTCTCTCTGTCTCTTGTTGTCTGTCAGTATCCCTATTTCCCTCTCTTTCTTTCTGTCTCTCTCTCTGTTCCTGTTTCTCTCACTCTGTCTGACTCACTGTCTAGGCCTACATGTCTCTCTGTCTCATATTGTCTGACTCAAAGGCGGAAATTAAGGGGAGGTCGGGGGGTCAGGAGGTATTCACTTGAAACAAAGGATGAACTAATTCTTTTGTCTGTAATACAGATGATGCTGAGTCATTAATAAATTAATCATGACAAAAAGTTATGATAACCTATTTTTCTATGAGCCCACTATAACATTACCAAGCTTGTTTGGTTACATCTGCAGAGATACAAACAGAAAGAGACGTAGTCTTGTATCACCTTAGAAGACAACGATGGATATTGTAAAGTACAGACCAGGTAAAACAACAATGAACACAGCTATTGGTGACCATGTCATTCATTACCATGATGGTCTCGATCAGTAATTAACAAGTCTCCTCCACACGTGGCTCACCTGCTGCTGTGGAAATGGAATTGCAGGTGAAAAAAAACGGGAGCTGTCTTTTATAAAACTGCTCATAAATAAAGTCAGAACAGACTGATACAGGACGAGAGAGAGAGAGATGTGTAGGTGTGTGTATGTGTGTCTAAAGGGAAAAGCAAGGTGAGCAGATTACTGTAAAATGAATAAACACTAAAAAAGGTAGAGAATTAAGTAGAAATAAAATGGTAGGCTAATGCAATTTATTTTCAGTTGGATTGTAGGCTATAACAGCTCCTTCAAGTGAAAATGCAAATGTTATTTAATAATCAATGTTTCATTATTACCCCAGTGAGAATAGCCAACATTACCAACATACTTATGCTGATGGGGATCCTAATAAAAATAGATTTTTCCAATAAAAAGTTACAAAGATGTTTGTGTATGCTGTCAATTATCAGCCTGTTCTCATGGTCAGGCAATTATAGAAAGAAAGAAAATCGGAATTGGCCAACTTTAGAATTGGCAGATCAGACCTTTAAAAAATCAAAAATTGGAATCAGCCAGGAAAAATGTAATCTGTGCAACTCCTACTACAGCTAGCATGGCAATACAGAGCCAAAGTAACTCACTTCCGCTTCCGGCCCATGGGACCCTATTTCGGGAAAAATATGTACGACTTTCTTGACTTTAAGGTTTATCTTTTAAATTGACAAACATCATATGTGCAATTCAGGGCACAGTTCAGACAGGATCAAAATATTTATTGTCCCTTGCCATTGACTACTGTAAAATATTTTTCCGAAATAAGGTCCCATGGTGGTCCGCTGGAAAGGAAACTCTCTATAAGCCTTTGTGTGAACCGATATTAGGCTAATACCGTTGTGCTGGGTTCCCCTTCGAGGGAACTCGAACTGCGTCGGTTACGACACTATGGGAACGCCTCTAGGCGTAGCAGGTCTGAACGTGAATGAAATCACTCCAATCCTATTGGTTTGTACCTAGAACGGTAAGGTGTGACGGAATAACCGGAGGAGTATAAAGCACACCTGTACACACTCATCATTAGCTTTTTTCTATTCAGCAGGCGCTCTGTATGTTGTTTGAAGAAAGCTCCAGTCCTACAAGCAGTGTGTCTTACCTGAAGAAGAAGTCTACCAGCATGTCCAGCAACCAGAAGTACAGAAGGTGCGTTTTTCCTTGCCCTCGGTACATCACGGATGGAGATTCTCATGAGATGTGTGTCTCATGTTTGGGGATGGAGCATGCCCGGCCAGCTCTCGAGGGGGCTGCCTGCGGCCATTGCGAAGCCCTTTCCGTGCGGGTACTGAGGTCCCGCATGGCTCTTTTTTTCCGAGGATGGCCGGATGTGTTCTTCCTGTGGTGTAGGCCCTGCGGCCGTTGAGGCAGCCCGGCGGCTTCACTCATGGGGTTCACAGCGTGATCTTTCGGAGGATTTTGGGACGGCTGAGGCTTTTTCCCGACCTTCATCTGCTGGCTCCAACGCTTGCGAGCTATCTCTCCCCTCGACTTGCGTCCTCCCTGGAGAAGCCAGCGTTACCCTCCAAGCCATGTCGCACCACATCTACGCTCGTGGGGAAGGCGTACATGGTGCGAGCTTGTACACCATGGCGGTGCTTCAAGCCTACCAAGCCGACCTGCTACAGGAGATGGTTCAGAGGGGGGTCCCTCTGAGGAAGATCTGGCGGAACTTCGCAGAACCATGGACCTATCTCTCCGGGCCACCAAAGAAACAGCCCGCTCCATTGGCCGGTCCATGTTGGTTCTGGTGGCCACAAAGCGTCACCTATGGCTCAACCTCGCGGGCATATCTGAGAAGGATAAGAGCTTCCTCCTTGATGCACTGGTGAGCACGGCGGGCCTCTTCGGTGATGCGGTGGACTCGGTGGTGGATCGGTTCCAGCACGTTAAGACGCAGGGCGAAGCGTTCCGCCAGTACCTCCCTCGCCGGTCTGGACCCAAGGCAGCTGAGGCTGCCGGGAGTAGGTCCAATCCCTCTACGAGCTCCTACCGAGAGGAGAGATAGCAGACTGTCGCTTCTCAGGGGCCCCCCCAAGGAGCTGGGGCAGTGAGGCGGCGCTCTCAACCTCAGCCTTCTGAGAGACGTGATCTGAGGACCGTCATCCAGTCCCGACGGAGCTCATGGAAGAGGTCCTGAAGACCGGGGTAGGGGAGTCTTTCTTTCGAGAGTTGGTGGTTCAGCATTGAGATGTCGTTCTGGCTCATCTGCTGCGTTTAGGGCTGAGGCTCAACACAAAGAAGAGTGTGCTGGCACCCACCCAACGGACTACGTTCCTAGGGGTAGTATGGGATTCGACAACGATGCAGGCACAATTGTCTCCGGCACGTGTCGACACCATATTGGCTGCCGTGAAAGGGGTGAAGTTAGGCCACGCCATCACTATAAAACACTTTCAACGAGTGTTGGGTCTCCTGGCGGCTGCGTCCAGCGTAATACCATCTGGACTGCTGCACATGAGACCCCTGCAGTGGTGGCTAAGGACCAGGGTTTTTTCCCAGAGGGGAAATCCTTTCCGTCTGATTTGGGTTACGCGCAAGTGTCTTCGTTCCCTATCAGTTTGGAAGGAAACTTGGTTCCTGTCCTGTACAGGCTGGCGCGTCAGATCCTCCTGTGGTCCCAGCAGAGGTTACTATCGCTCAGGGCGATGTATCTCCCGGGGACGCAGAATCAGGGAGCAGACCTGCTGTCGAGGCAGGGGCTGAGGCCCGGGGAATGGAGACTTCACCCCGAAGTGGTGGAGCTCTTGTGAGGAGAGTTTGGCCCCATAGACGTGGATCTGTTTGCGTCTCAAGAGACTATGCACTGCCTGCTATGGTTTTCTCTCGTTCCTCCAGTCCCGTTGGGTCTGGACGCCATGGTACATTCGTGGCAGAGGCTACGTCTGTACGCTTTTCCCCCAGTCGCTCTGCTCCCGGGGGGTCTGGAGCGGGTTCGCCAGGACAATGTCGGCCTACTGCTCGTAGCCCCGTTCTGGCCAACCTGGGTGTGGTTCTCGGACATCATGTCGCTCCTGGACAGCCCGCCGTGGCAGGTCCCTCTGAGGAGAGACCTGCTGTCCCAGGCGCAGGGCCGGGTTCTTCAACCTTGCCCCGCCGTATGGCGACTGGTGGTCTGGCCCCTGAGGGGGCACAGTACCTAGAGGCGGGTCTAACAGCCGGAGCAGTCGAGAACCTCCTCAGCTCCAGGGCCCCGTCCACACGGATCCTCCGTGCTGCCCGGAGGATGAGACCTGCGACTCGGTCCAAGGTTCCCACTTGGGATCTGGCGGTGGTTCTTGGGGCGTTGGCTGAGGCCCCCTTCGAACCCCGGGAGTCAGCTGAGGCTAAGCACTTGACCCTCAAGATGGCCTTTCTCCTTGCTATCACCTCTCTGAGGAGGGTGGGGGATCTCCAAGCGCTTTCGGTTT